AATTATGACAGAGTTAGTTCAGGTGAGGATATGTGTCTGATGAAAGCTTCTGGATTTCTACTTTGCCCATTTAAAAAGTGATTTCTTTACTTCAAACTAGTATGAAGTCACAATATCTAAACATAAAATTAATAATTCATAACCCTGAAAGAAAAATAATTCATAGTACTATTGGAATGGAAGTACTATTGGAATGGTAGAGAATATCAATTTGTCTTGCATTAAACTTCTTTTAAACAATCTATAGATTTACAGATAAGAGCTTTCTTTCTTTATGATGTTAAGCTTACATTTAGGCTAATACAGTATTTGAAAATATACTTTTGGAGTGGGTTGTCAGAATGAGATGGAACAATGGAGTTGCTTAGCTGGTTTCTAGATTCTATAATGGTTGGATGGGAGTGAATAATTTGAAATTGAATCTCAAAAAGACAGAATTCCTTACCCTAGCTGAATGCATGGGAAGTTTCCAATTTAGTAGAGAACAGGGTGGATATACTGATTATGTCCCAATCTCTTCTCCACATCCACACATTCATCTGCAGGTATGATGAAATCCATATTTGGATTTGTATGAGTCTTTCTTACATACCATTAGATGATATGAGATTCATCATAACTGGAAGGGTAAATACTCTTGGTTGCTTAGAGTTGTTTTAGAGTATGTTCCTAGACAGAGAAGCCTGGTCTCTGTAATTCATATAGTGGTAACTTCCTTGAGATTACTCTACTACAGGACTGACCTGAAAAACAACTCAGAACAGCAGGATGAAAATATTTCATTAATTTAAAAGTTTTAAACTAGTTGCCAATGTTCTTCTAGTTGAAATCAAATCAAATCTTTATTACAGTCATAGACATACTTAACTTCTGGTTCATAATTACTAGTTATGTTAATTCTAAAGGAGTATATTAAGGTGTATTTTTCCTAAACTACACTTCCCCAGTATTACACTTTTTGCAATCTCTGTTCTATCTCCTATCATTAGAAAAGTGTTTTATGGCAATATGAGAAAGAATTTTCTTGAAATAGCATTTTTAATAAGGAAAACTTCATTCAAAAGGAAAAGAGATGCTGATACCAATATCTTTTTGCTAGCAAATAAAGATCTGCCTATTTGCTTTAGAATTGGGGCTTAGTTTATTTTACTTACTATTTTACTTTGGGTTTTTTTCCCCATTGCTTGATAAAATGAATGTTACATATGTTTTAAAGACATATACTGTATGTCTCCTTAAAGATCTCATTTCAATGTTATTCTGGATCATGTCAATGACACTAGAAGAGAGAATTGACATAAACACAACTTTGTATTAATCTTATGAGAGAGGGTTCCTATAGCTAATAATGCTTCTTTGACAGAGACAGCAGAACAAGATAGATTTTGGACACACTATTGTGCTTTCTTGGAGATTCTCAGTCATCCAGCTCATAGTTATCCAAAAGATGCTTTTTCATGAAGCAACTGGACTTTCTTGTTTTTCTTTGAAGACATTTCACTTCTCATCCAAGAAGCTTATTCAGCTATAACTGAAGAAGCTTCTTGGATGAGAAGCAAAAAGCTTTAAAGAAAAACAAGAAAGTCCAGTTGCCTTGTGAAAAAGCATATTTGGGATACTATTGTGTTATTATTTTCTTAATGTTGCTGACTGTCTCTTATCTGAGAGAATGTCTCAAAATTATGAACTTTATCACCATGTATCTCATTTCATCATCTTGCCACCAGTGTTTTATTTTCCTTGGTCTATATCATTAGCAGCCTGACAATCCAAATTAAATTATCTGAGTTCAACAGAAGAATGCAAATCATACAGAAACTATATGTTATTTTAGAATGCTACTCAAAAGAATAGAGCATGTTTCTCAACCTTGGCAAGTTTAAGATGTGCAAATTTCAACTCCCAGAATTTCCCCAGCAGGCTTTCAGTGTATCTCAACCCCAGCAAGTTTAAAATGTGTGGACTTCAACTCCCAGAATTCCCAAAGCTGGGTAGGGAATTCTGGGAGTTGAAGTCCACACATCTTAAAGTTGCTGAGGTTGAAAAATAATGGCATAAAGCATTTAGTTTTGAAAGAATGGAAATTCCTTTAAATTCTTTAAACAACAATGTTTGTGAAAGCTTCAAAATCAAATTACATCTTCTAAAAGAATAATTTAAGATGACTATTAAACCACTAAGAATAAAAAAAAAACCTGCAATGCATTGCTGAAATTGCTGTGGTAGCTTACCAGTTTTTCCTTCACAGTCATCTATAGTCATGTAGAGCTTTCATTAGTGGCCAGATCAAATTAGTTCTTCCCCAAGAAAAACTAAATTCAAAGATGGACTTCTATTAAAACTTTTATTTCTTTGTTTTTAACAGTTACTGTAGTTCTTTTCCTCTGAAGCTTTTCAACATTTAATTTTGCTCTTTTTGTATATAGTTCCACATAATGGCATGTTTCCTGGATATTTGGGCAGGTATTTGGGCTAAATATTTATAATCAAAATAATTTCATTTTATGTTCATATTTTTTCCTTATTGTTTTTATCACAGAAACTAAAAGTTTATATTTTTCACTAGACTCATAGGCTGTGGGAATCTTTTACATTTTTCTTTAATTTCTTATAAAAGTGGTGACAGATGAGAAAAAGAAAATTCTGGCCCAGTTGACAATAAAACTATAAATTCACTGATTTTAGGTTCTAATTCACTGTATATTATTACAAATAATAATATCATTTGGCTAATTTTGTCATATAAGAAGAGTATTAATGGTAAGGCTATAGTATAGACTTAAAGCAATCTATTATGAGATGACATGGATGACAGTTATTGTATAAAATATATAATTTTCCAATCCCTACTATAGTTGTAGAGTGAACAGATTTTGAAAGTTATTTTCTTACACTCCTTTAAAGATCTCTGATAAATAGAGTAATTATTATAGCTTGTGAGATGCAAAAGCTGGACTAAACATGTACTTTAACTCAGCCTCACAGGCTAAATTAATACTATGCTGAGGAATGGTAACAGAAGGTCAAAAATAATACATCAATGCATTACAATGAGTGAAAGCAATGCAACATCTGACCTGCTAGTAACTGACTCATAAGCAAGCCACTATGGAATCTAGATAGTATTCCAGTATATAGAAAATAATGGTACAGTAGTTGATGGCTCCCTTAGTTCAAAACACTCTATTGCATCAGTTTAAAAGGCATGAAGATTAGCTTTTGATACATTTATCAGAGGAGTCATTTAAGTAATAATTATATAAATTGTAGTATTTATTACATAATAGAATATATAAAGCATAATAGGAAAGGAAACTTTCCTAATCTGGTTCTTTCTGGATGACCAAAGGAAGACTGAAATATTAGTTTAAAGCATTACAAAAAAATTAAAGTGAACTTTACTTACAGTACCATTATAGTGTACAGAAGTCTCTTTCTAGAAATCTCATTTTACAGAATGGTTTATTAATATTCTAGTAATAATCATTTTTTAAATAAAGAGTGGAGACAATTCCCTATTATGAAAAATATTGTATTGATTGAATTCCTCATAGCTATTTAAGTTTAAAATTATAGCTGAGAGGTAAATTGCAGATACTAAAGATCATTTTGTATTAAGATGAAAATGTTCACCAGGTTTGTAATACTAATTAAACTACTTATATGACCCTTGAATTCTAATACAAAAGAAGGTTTTTTTGTTTGTTTGAAATGGAACTTTTCCTTTAAAGTAATCTTTTTAATTATACTTAAACATAGGTGAAAAACCTATAACATCTAGTACTATTATAACAATAATTTTCTACTTTAAATAAAAAATGCAGATTTTTGTTTTGTTTTGTTTCAGTTCTCAGGGATGCTTAGTTATGTAATTCCTGTGAATTTTAATAGGCTCAGATATCTCTGAAGTGCAATTCTTTGGGAATTAATATTAGAGGAATTTTATTTTCCCCCTATTTCTTCTAGAGAATTATTCTTAATATTCAGATTGCCAAATTGTCCTAAAGGAGGGAATAGTTACAGTAAAAACATTTTGAGTTTTAGAACCATTTCATATATGAAAAGTGATAGCATAATGACAAATCTCATGTTAAATATTTAAAAAATAGCATTGGCGAATAACTGAAATAGAAAATTGTTTCTTCCTAAACAAGTGAGGAGGATTATAGCATATATCATTCTGGTCTACTTAATTAGTAAATAAAATGGTAAGACATGACATAGCTTAGAAGAAGGGTTGGAGTAGACACCAGTGGCCTGCTAGAAGGTAGCCGATGGATGAGCACACAAAACACAGAAAAACTATGGTAGATGCCATAGTCTGGAATGGAGAAACTATTTCTGCATGTTGGTGGAGACAGGACTGGGTGAAATTGGAGGCTTTGGAAAGATCATCACAGTCCTGGAGAGCGTCTGAGAAATTGCAGCGCCAGAGACAGAGTTTGTGATTATGTATGCTCAATAAAATCAAGAGGTGCCATGCCACTGGACAGTTCACTTAATGAAGCTTTTTTTTTTATTCAAAGGGGCTCATGGGCCATCTGAGGTATTTCTGGGTAATCTGGAGTGCTCTTTGGAATAATAAGGCAATCTGGGTTTTCAGCAGGATTGCTCCTGAGTGACCTGTCACTGTCTGCCAACCCTTTGCAAATCCTTTGGTTAGAAAATGAAAGAGATGCCTGGAGAAACAGTGACAGAAGAAAAAAGAACTGACTGTGATAGGACATGGATAAAATCTAAGAAGCAAGCCTAGTTTGTGGAGATAAAGATGATCAAATAAAATTACTTCTAGGTCATTATTGTATTTGTGGAATACCAATCAGCTGCAATATTTAAAGTGCCTGGATCCTTTTGGAGAATGACAGGCTGGAATTTCCAGTCAGAGTAAGCTATGATTCCTGGCCAAGCATTTCATGTATAAAACATTCATCAAAATCACTCCAACATGAAGGTCAAATGGACAACTTCTTTTGTTCTGTGGTATTTCTAAAAGTTCTTACCTTTGCTGACCCAAAACAAGTAGCACACATGCTGAGGGTCACACATGGTACAGCTATGCTACTCTGTTCAAGCTGACTTGATTGCTTTTATGTTTCTCAGTGCAATTCAAGGTGTTCTTTGCCACCTAAATAAAAGCACATACTAATTAGAACATGGGTATCTTAAAGACTGTCTTTTCCCAATACTTTATGTCTATCTAACTGGACAACTATGGAACCCTGCTATGTGCCCTTTCTACTAGGAGGTATCTTGGAATGGGCCTGATGGTGGTTTTGTTTATCATAACTCCTCTCTTTTGGAATAGCTTTGCTGCCAGGGATAAGGATGGCACCTAATTTGCACCTTTAGCACTGTCAGGGTCTTGTACTGACATATAAAGTTCTACAGTATAAGCCATAGGACCTGAATCCCTCCCAGAATGCCTTCTCCCTTCCTTTTCAAACCAGTCATTAAAATCCGATGAGAAATATTTCTTGATGAATATTTGAGTTTTCCTGAAATCTACTGCACTGCAATTCAAGAGAATATGTGCTTCATTCACACAAGTATCCAAATATGATCTTCTCTTCTGGTTTAGTTACAACTGGCACTAGGCCACATAAACTTTTTACACTAGATGAAAACTTATTTGCTCAGTAGATTTAATTAAATTCTCTTGCTGCATCTCCTGCTGTCCCAGATTTAATAAATTGTAATTTGTAATTTGTAATTGCATAGTTTAATATGTTACATGACTTTAAGACGCTATAATTTTCAGAAATTGCAATGGTTTGCTTTTAATATGATGCATTGATCTACCTAACTTTTTATCAATTTAACTATCTCTACTTATATACTGTATTTGCCTATTTTATTTCTTTGTATAATGTTTTGAAGAAATATCTGACCCAGAATTATTATGAAGACAGAGGAGAGCAACTTAGTTACTAAAGCAAATTAATGAGTTCAATTTTCTGAAAATCTGTTTTATAAACTGGAAGTTGGTTTTATATTATTGTCAATTTTGTTACTGTAGAATAATGTTAATGCTACAGAAGTAATTTTGTTGGACATCTATCTTTATTTAGAAATGCATTTTTAACTATTTAGTATATAAAGCTACTGGAAGAAAGAAAGACAAAGTCTAGAAAGACTGATGTTTTAAAACTATGTTAATCCTTATCACAGTATCCAGAATAAGCAGTGCCTATCTGAATACAAACAACACTTGCAGTACTGAACTGTATTTTTAATGGATACTGTATATGACAACAATTACATGAAGAGCTTGACTTGATACCATAAAAGTTCTGTTCAAATTTTGGTAAATTTACACTAAGTCTTGCCTCCTGTTGATAAGTAAGTATTATGCTGGCTTCCTCCACACATTCACACAGACAAGTGTACAGCTTCCTCCCACACATGTTAAGATGCTATACTGTATTAATATGAAATTCTTAATTTTTATCATCCATAACAAAGTCCCATTTTAAAACTGTTAAATGTCCTCAAATGGGGAAAAACACTTTTTTCCAGACCTTTTAAAGCAGGAGTGTCAAACTCAATTTTATTGACGGCCACATCAGCATTGTGATTGCCCTCAGTGGGCCAGGTGAGTTTGGCCAGGGTGGGTGCGGCCTACTGGATGGGTGTGGATGGAGTGGGTGTGGCCTGCTGGGTGGGTGTGGCCAGCTCTACACCGTTTGCGTCAATGGTGCCTGTGGGGGCATGGGCAGGAGTGGAATAGATCTGAGGGTCTCTGGCAGAAGAAGGTGGGACCAGGGCAAGAGCCTCACTGTTCCACTCAGGCTATGCAGGGGGAGGCTTATGGAGCTGAATGCGTTTCAGCATAGATGGCCACCATAGAATTGTACATTGGTTGCTGGCTGCCCTGAGCCAGGGCCAAGGCACAGGGGGCTGTTCCCTCACTGTTTCCAGGATGGCTTCGTGGGCCACATGAAACCACTTCGCGGGCCACATCTGGCCCCCGGGCCTTGTGTTTGACATGTCTGTTTTAAAGTGTAATACAAAGTGTATGGCTGAGATATATGGAGGTGGGGGTAGGCAATTCCATAGATGGAAGTCATTATTTTGAAAGGTTAAGCATGGTGACCATGCAGAGGGCATTTCCTTAGATGTGGGACTCTCAAGGCAAGTCTTCTCTACTAAATAAAACCCAGATAGTCAAATTAAACTCAGAAAACTCAGTCTCCAAGATATGAGCTAACTGAAGCACCTTGAATTCCATTCTCAAATGGAGAATCAGGCCTAGCTAGAGATGATATCCTTTTTCATGAAGATCACAACCAGCTCTTACTGTTGCTAATGCAATGTTGCCAATTTTCCAGCAGATGAGTGGAAGTAACTCCAGCCCAGCACCATGTATTGCCAAACAGCAGACTGGAAACACTGCCGCCACTCCACCACCAACTCAACATATAATCCAGTTTGCCTCATTTTAGAATTTATTTTGCTGGAGTGGAATTGAATTTGTAGTTGAAAGGTGGTAGAAGTGCTTGCACTAAAAAATTTGTTTCCAATATTTTAATAAGCTGTCTTCTATATCCCTGTTTCCAGATCTGAAATGGACTATGGAATATGTTCCTATAAGATGTCTTCTACTGGAACTTTACTGAAGTACAGAACACCAGGATGGCTGCATGCTGCTGGAGAAATATTTATAGCCACACCTATCTTTCAACCACTTTTAAGTTAAGTGCAACAATCTCTTATATAACTCATGGGAATTTTAACAAAATATCCTTAGCTTTCAACAACAATAACAAAAGCCCATTAAAAGCAACAGTCTAATGCAGCTAAATGAGAATGTGTGGAAAATTACAAAATAAATGTTTTGCATTATATTATTATTACAGACGTAGCTGATAATAAATCCCAGAAAGGAAGAAAGAAAAGAGAACAGAAAGTAGATCTTGTTTCTTTAAAAAATATACTGGGATAGTAGAATAAAACAACTGACAGAAGCAACATTTACACCAATCTCCTAACCACTGGAAAATATAGGTTTCAGTCTTCAACTAGGATAAGGCATAAAAAATAGTTTCCTTTAATTAGTAATGCTGACTAGATTGCTAAGTTATAATTTACTAGTTCATTAGCCACTAGTCTCCTAACTGGAAGTCCATCTGGTTGCTGATAATACAGTTACATCCTAGAACAATAGCTCTTTTGATAGTGCCAAGATTGTTCCAGACCTGATAACTGGGGAAACAAGGATAATAAACTTTTTAAAATGTTTTAATGCACCTTTTTGCAAGCAATATAAACTTGTAACAAACAAGCTAAGGTATTAAATAATAAGGTATTAAACAACAAAAATGTAGGTATCTGTGTACTGTTGCTTCACTTGCTGTACTCCATGCAAGTTTGCTGCATTATTTTACCACTTTTTAAATTCCTTTATCTTGGTGAATCTGACCAACAGGTTCAAAAGGCTAAATATATCACAGTAAACACAAATGCAAAATTTAAATAAAGGATTTTTCAATGTGTACATTTTGCATTGCACTTGTTGAGTACTGACTTAGAAGAAAGCTACTGAAAATAAATGAATTTAAATTAGTTTTGATTCAATAGTGTCATTTGTAAAAAGCATATATTGCCTGATTAAGCTGTTTTCATTTTTGCATCAATGAAAATATTTTGAATCCATTTGTATGGACAAAATGTTGGGTGTTCTAAAACCCATTATATTGTCCTTTCAAAAGCTATTATATTAGTTTCATTGCTTTTGTGCAAAGCAACAACTTGTTGAAATAGACTAGTAACAATTCTATTAGTTTTTTTGTTTGTTTTTGTCAAGACAGGAGCGATCAACATATGGTTCTCTAGAAACTGCTGAACTCTAATCCCTGGTAGGTGTCATCTAGAAGACTAACAACAAAGAAAACTTGGAATTGTAGTTGAGCATAGTTTAATTTGCCTATATAAGCCTTAGAGGAGGGCAGGCATCAATTTCTACTGGTTAAGCAATCATTTTTTAGAGATATACTGTATATGTATACATATATATATATATGTTTGTGATGTATACATATACATATGTATATGTATGTATGTAAATATATATCCTCTAAAGGCCACGGTAGATGAAACAATGAAGTAATGTAAAAGAGACTGTAATTATGTATGTGTGTGGGACTCTAAAAAGTATGTATTTGTATGTTTGGAGAAGGGTTCCTTAGGTTGCTATATGTTTATTTTACTATTTAATTTTGCTGGATAGCTTAAGCAATTTTTAAATTATTTCTCCATCCTAGAAGCAGTGGAAAACCATACAAGTAATTTTCAGTAGTTTATTACATTTTGTTAGTATGATCAGAGAGGGAGCAATTGTGATTTTTGTCCATCCTATAAGAATATATAACAGTCTATTTGCTTTAATAAATCATTTTAAATATGATTAATTCAGATGCAATTCACAATAGCTAAATTACTGCTTATTAATAAAAAGGATTAAAGTGTCTGTTCCATCTTGTATCCAGGATAAATAGCATAATTGGTGGGAAATGGGAGATACAGTATATTGCATTTAATCTTTTCAATATATTTACTTCACAAATACATGCATTTCTGGCAAGCTGTCTGTTTGTACACAGTGTAATTATCAGAAGAAATTATATACTAGGTATGCAAGGCAAATTCAAAAATATTTTTATTCAGTAAGAAAAGGACTGCTGTATTTTACTGATAACACTGCTATAGCTATTACCAGGGGTTTTTTTGTTTTGTTTTTTGTTTTGTTTTGTTTTGTTTTGTTTTTTGTCATAGAACGCCCAGCATGGAGTTCCGGCACCTTTTTTGGATGGAACCTTGTAGGGTAGGCAAGGCGGATTGTATAACATGTATGAGTTCCGGCACCTATTCTTTTTACAAAAAAAGCACTGGCTATTACTATGAAATAATAATAAAAATGTTAAAAAGCAGCCTGGTCAAATACTTTGTAACAACTCTATTTTATATACATTTGATTATTTGCTATTAAAACTAAACTTTTTGAAAATCAACTTTTTGTTGAAGTATCTTTGGGTCTCTATTGGTAATTAACACAATACACATCTCTATGTCTCTTACTTAAAAGGGATTAATTAGATGGGGGTTTGGTTAAGGGCACTTCCTGTCCAT